TTTTACCAATAAACCTTAAACAGTAAGGATTCTCTCTGTGGTTTGTCAGTTTTGCATTTGGGTAATCTTTGTTTTGCCTCAAAGTTCCCAAATTCTCTTCATTTCTCAAATCAACTTTCTGGGTTTTTCACCAAAGGTCCTCCCATTTCCTTGCACAAGATTTGGGTGCTGTTTCGTTTGGCTCCTTGTTATTGGAGAATGATATTCTGGGTTCTGTTTCTTGTCTTTAAATTTTGATCAATCATCTTGTTCCTTTTTCTAATTTGTTAATGTGGTTTCAATGGTGATTTTCCATTGCCATGAAATGTTTAAATTACTGTCAATTTAGACTCGTTTTTCCATTAAAATTATTTTGATTATTTGCTAAATTCATTGGGAACCAGATGACTGAACCATTTGGTGATGTTGATGTTTTGCTTGCATTTTCTGGTTAACAAATTATCAATGTTTAAAATTATTTCATTGTCTAATATATGTAGCTTTGTGATCTTCTGTAGTGACTCTAGATATGTAGTCTTTTCTTTTTCATATGCCATGATTTATGTTTGATATTTCTGATCATGAGTAATTAGAATAATGGATGTTTTAGAAAGAATAAATGATCTTCTGTAGTGACTTGATCAGTTCTAATTCTGAGCTGCTGATAGGTATAATTAGCTCGAAATTGATCTAATGAACTTGTGACTGTATTCTTTCCTCATGTGCCTTTGGTATTTTGTTATTCCCTTATTGTCATTTGTTTATGAGTTGGCTGTTCTGGGTCATTTTGAATGACGAACACTATTGGCCTCTTTTTTTTTTCTTTTCTTTTGGTATTCATCGTTTGAACTTTGAAAAGGAGAGCTAATTTGTACTTTCTTGGTTTTTTATGACCTTATCAGGATATTTGTTGGTATTTATATCAGTTTCATAATGAGTATATTTAGTAGAGATGGTTCGGATGAAGAATACTCTGTCATAGGTGACAAAGGTGAGATTGGATTTATTGATTTTGAGGAGGATATATCTGTGCTAAGTTATGACCCAAGTGAAGAAGGACCGGTTACTGTATCAGTCCCATTTCAATTTGTTCATGGAAAGCCTCAGTCTATTTTTGTTGGAGAGACTTCTAAGGGTCCAATTACACTAGAGAACACAACAGGTGATCCGGTGGAACTTTGGGGAGTGAAGATATTCTGTTCAAATCCAGAAGATTCATTTACTTTATCTCTCAGGGAACCACCCTCAGCCAATTCAAAGGCAGAAAATACCCAAGGCTTTGTGGAGGTATACTCTCTTGATGACAGAGTACTTCAGGCACACCAGACTCTGACCATTTGGCTGTCATGCAAACCAAAGGAGATGGGTTTGCATACAACTGTGGTGCATTTTGATGTTGGGGATGATAGAATTGAACGAGTTGTCTTTTTACTGGCTGAAGACAGGGTCTCTCAGTCTCTAGCTTCCAGCAATCCATATAGAAGAGCTCCAAGAAGAAGAAACCAATTTGCTGTTGATGAGTATGTGGTTTCTTCCTGTCCTGCTAGGAGAGCTGCTCAAGGATATTATAAGAATAGGCTTCCCAAATATCCAATCCCAAAATATGTTAGAGAGTTAATTGAAGAATAAGCAAGTCCCTGATGTTCTTACAGAAGATTTAGTAAGAGAGAATTATGCTTCCTTCTTCAGTACATTGCTTATAATGGAAGAGCTACATTTAGAGGTAAATGTTAGCTATCAAACCAGTTAAGTGGCAATAGTATTTCTCTATGTTCTAACATACAGTGTTTTGATTCCAGGAAGAAATGAAGGCTTATAACATGGAATGTGTCTCTATGAGGAGAAAAGGGACACAATTCGTGGCACTTGAGGTCCCAGGGTTAGCTGAAAGGAGGCCTTCACTTGTACATGGTGATTATGTTTTTGTGAAGCTTGCCTCCAATGATCCTGAGAATGTTTTTTGTTTATCAGGTTTTTTTCCCCTCTTTCAACAAGAAACAACCATTCCAAATGAAGCATTCATGCAGTTTAATTTTTATCAAATGTTAAAGAACTTGTGACATAAAAAACATTAAAATTTTTATCCACTCATAAATCTGTGAGAATTTCATTTATTAGTTTAGTTCTTATAAAAATGTGTTTGTCGAAGTGATATCTTTGGAAAAGGTGGGATATGTGTTGTAAAATCTAGTTTTCTCTAAGTGAAGGCTGCAGTTATGGCTCTTTCTAGGATGCATAATCCCCTTTTACTCAACCTCCTTTTCCTAACTGCTTGACATGGGCCAGTCCCCTGATAACCTGTGTTACACAGATATAAAACAAAACTTGAAGATAATATATTGCTAGTTAACAGGCAATGGTATGTACTATTGCCATAATTTGGAAGCTTTTCCTCTCATTGATCAATATCACAAAAATGGTAAACGCAATTTCTAATTGTAAAAACTTTCTGAATAAAACCAAATAGACCCATAAAGTGAGCCTGTATCAAAAATCGTCTCCATCTCCATGTTTTAATTTTAACCAATTGGTTTTCCTGTTGCCTTCACCGAAAAACCCCCCCCCCCACATTGCCAAAACCCTAATCCATCAGGGAGACCATTTTCAGAACGAAGTATCCATCGAGGAAGCAACCGTACAATGCGGCATTCAAGAATTCTGTTCAACATCTACAAGCAGAACCCTAGCTCGTTCCTCTTTTCTTCTGAACACCGTCTCCCTACTTTGTCACAGCATCGCTCAATCTTCACCTCGTCACCCACCCATGCCTCGTGGATGGATACGATCAGAAGGGTCTTCACCGGCAAAAAGGGCTCTACAGAGGACCCCAAGGATGCCGCCCAATCGTTTACCCTACTCCGTGAGTTCGCTGCCATTGCTCTGTCACTTTAGCCTGTATATTATTCCATTTTTAATTCAATAGTGATTCCTTTATTTTAAATAGAAGCAGCCCATTTGAATATTTTCTGTTTTGGTGCTTGATGA